TCCCGGCAACTTTTGCAGGGCCGTTTGTACCGCTCTGCTGGACACGGGAACGTAGCGGATTGTTGCAGTCGGTCTCCGTTTTTCTGCGTCGTCTGCAGAAAGATGACATCACCGAGGTTGTTGAGATAGAGAGGGAGGCGTTCTCTCCCACTTGGGTGACTTCGCCTTTTCGACGGGACCTGAACAACCAGCGCGCCAGCTACTTCGTTGCCTGCCTCGAGCAGGACGGGGATCAGGCGGATTCTTCTTCGGCAGTTCCAGGCGGAGCTGAAGCACCCCAATCCTGGTTGTCTCGACTGGCCGGACGCCTTGGACTTGGAGGATCTCCCCCAGAACTTGAGCCCGCCACCGAGTTCAACCCCGCAATTGCTGGATACGTCAGCGTCTGGTACCAGGGAGACGAAGCCCACATTACCGAAATCGCCGTTCGGGAGACCCTCAGAGGGCAATGGCATCGGCGAACTCCTGTTGATCGGCTCCCTGATTGCTGCCCGCGAATATGGGTCCCATGTAATGACGCTTGAGGCGCGAGTGTCCAACTTCATCGCGCAGCGGCTGTACGAAAAATACAGCTTCAAATCGGTTGGCATCCGAAAGGCCTACTACGCCGACAACCGGGAGGACGCGGTGATAATGACCACCACTCCCATCGACTCGGAGGAGTACGGTCGCATGTTTCAAGGGCTGCAGGAGACCTGGGAATCCCGCTGGGGCCCCATGATCATCGAGAACTGACAGCGGGCCAATGAGTGCAGGTTGCCAGCGCGCGGGAGCACTCCTCCTTCAAGTTGACCATATCGGAAACTGGTTTTAGAATTACGCTCTGTGCGGTAATCTCCGGCATTCCTTCTTGGCATCGCAAAAGTGGGGTCCGGAAGGCACGTGTGCCTGCGCCGCGATGACTGGCACCAGCTGCCAGGTGACGTAACTGGGGGCTTATGTTGGTCATCGGCCTTACCGGAGGCATCGGGACAGGCAAGAGCGAGGCCGCCAGACATATGGTGGCCCTGGGCGCGAAGCTCATCGACGCCGATGTGGTCGGCCACGAAGCCTACCGGCCTCAAGCCGAGGCCTGGACGAGAGTCGTCGAGGCGTTCGGCGAGGGAATCCTTGGACCCGACAACGAAATCGACCGCCGCAGCCTTGGAGCCATCGTTTTTTCAGATCCCGAACAGCTTGCCCGCCTGAACGTCATTATGCACCCGCTGATGGCGGGGATGGTCCAGGACAGGATTGACACTCACCGCGATGGGGGAACGGGAGTAGTGGTGGTGGAGGCGGCGCTTCTTTTCGAGGCGGGTTGGAATTCGCTGGTCCAGGAAGTTTGGGTCACCGATTCGCCGGTTGACGTGGTAGTGGAGCGGTTGGCCCTCCGGAATGGGATGAACGAAGAGGAAGCCCGCAGGCGAGTATCCTCCCAGATGAGCCGAGAGGAAAGGTTGGAGCGGGCGGACTTCGTGATTGACAACTCAGCCGATGTCGAGGCGATGTGCAGGGCCATTGACGAGTTGTGGGCGACCCGAGTTAAAGAAAGGATAGAGCAGACATAATGGTAGAAGCCGCAGAGCAAGAACAAATACACTACAGTGAGTACGCAATCGAGGAGTTCCTGGTTCGGGCCGAGCCGTACTACCGGGCCGTGGGCGACGAAATGGAACTGTTTGCCGCGGCTTACCAGCAGCACATCCCCGTGCTGCTCAAGGGCCCGACCGGCTGTGGAAAGACCCGATTCGTGGAATACATGGCGTGGAAGCTGGGGCGCCCCCTGACCGTAATTCGAGATGAGGAGAAGGGCGGCGGTGCACCCCAGGATGTGCAGGAAATCCACGAAGGCGAAGTTCGCGTGCCGCTGGTCACCATCGCCTGCCACGAGGACCTGACGGCCAGCGACCTGGTAGGCCGCTACCTCCTCGACGCCAATGGGACCCGCTGGATCGACGGCCCGATGACGCGCGCCGTCAAGGCCGGGCGATCCTTTACCTCGACGAGGTTGTTGAGGCCCGCAAGGACACCACGGTGTTGATCCACCCTCTGACCGACCACCGTCGGATTCTTCCGGTGGAGAAGACCGGCACCATCATCGAGGCCGATGATCGGTTCCTGCTCTGCATTTCCTACAACCCTGGTTACCAGAGTGCCCTGAAGGACCTAAAGCACAGCACGAGGCAGCGCTTCATCTCCATCGAATTCTATTACCCGCCCCGGGAAATAGAGCGGGAGATCATTCAGTCGGAGGCCGGCTGCACCGAAGAGCAGGCCGACTCGCTGGCCAAGCTGGGCGAGAAGATCCGCAACCTGGAAGACCACGGCCTGCAGGAAGGCGCCAGCACCCGGCTGCTGATCTACGCTGGGCGTCTGATGTGCGAGGGCATTTCCGCCCGCCGTGCATGCCAGGTCGCCATCGTCTGGACGCTTACCGACGACCCCGAGTTGCAGCGCAGTCTTGAGGAAGTCACCTCTTCCATATTCGAGTAACCACTCGAGCTATTCTCAGAGGAGCAGTATTCTGGAGTGGGAGAGTAGGCAGTCCTGACGCCTCCGGAACTCGTCAAGCGGGCGCTCGCCAACCGTTCCACCAGCAGGGTGGCCGGGAATGGTCTAACGCCCGCTGCCGTCATGGTGCTGCTGTACCCAAAGGATGGTGACCACTGGGTTCTGCTCAACAAGCGGTCCCAGGAAGTTGAGCACCACAAGGGGGAGATCTCATTCCCAGGCGGCTCCACCGACCCTGAGGACCGTGATTCCTTGGACACGGCACTCAGGGAAACCGAGGAAGAAATGGGGATCCGCCGGGAGGACATAATCGTCCTCGGCGAGATGGACGAAGTTGCCACCCGCTCCCAGTTCCGCGTCAGCGTGTTCACTGGAACCATAGGGCACCCCTACGACTTCCGGCCCAGCGCCGACGAAATCGCGGAAATCGTGGAGTTCCCGGTAAGCGCACTGCGGGATCCTGCCAGCGTTCGCGTCGATACCCACTGGCAGGCCGATGGTCCCAGCACGGTGTACTCATATGCCTACGGCAAGCACCTGGTCTTCGGCGCAACCGCAAGAATCCTCCAGCAATTCCTGCAACTTTTGGAGGACGGGCTGGAAAGCGAGGGTCTGAGTTGACAAGCAGCGCTCCAACACCCGATATAGAACAGGAACTGGAAAAGCTGCCACCGGCAGTTCTGGAAGCCTATCAGGAGCCTAACGGCCGTGTACTCCGCCTTCGGCCCGACTGAGGTTGTGCTCTGGGCCAAGGAAGGCGTCTCCATAGGCTCCCAGACCATCCGGTCCTGGGAAGCGGCCATCGAGTACTACAAGGTCAGCCCCGAGATCTGCCGCTTCCTGTCGTTCCCGTCCTTCATGCAGTGGGCCCGTTGCGGCACCTACCTGGCGCAGGACTCGCCCACGCTGGCCGTGGCTTTCTTCAAGTCCAGCGTGGCCATCGTGCCCAACCTGCGGCCCCAGTACATCCCGCGCTGGGCGGGCCTGGGCCGCAGCCTGTACAAGGGGCACCTGGAAGTCCAGCACCTGGCTGCCAAGTTTTTCGAGGTCTCGCCGGAGCTGGTGCGCGACCCTGCCGTTCTGGGACGTGAGGTCTTCGCCTCGCTGATAGAGGCGCTGTCCTACAAGTCCTACGATGTCGCCAGCGAGTGCCTGACGCTGGGCAAGGATGTTCTCCCGGCATGGGCGCGTGAACGCGAGCCCTTCCTGGCGATGACCCGCGCCCTGATCGACACCAGCTGGCGCGAGGTCAAGACCTGCCTGGAGCTGGTGCCCGCGGGCGCTGCAGCACGTGGACGAGGCCCAGACCGGTCGCTTCCTCAAGCTGGGCGAGCGTCTGGCCAAGGTCGGTCTGCGCGACACGTCGCGGTTCCTCGCCGACGGAACCCAGGCGCTGGGGCGCGTACCGCAGGGCAACCAGGGCTACATTCTCGACCTGTGCGACCAGCTGGTCGCCGTGGCACCCGAGGCGTGCCGCCCTTCCTGCGCAGCCTGGACAGTGTGCTCACCCGCATCACCGTAAGCCAGCTGGACACCTGGTACCAGCACGGAATGCGGTTGCTGCAGGAGAATCCCGAGAGCGGAATCGCATTCTTCAAGATCGAGTCCAATACCTCGGAGCAGATGCTCGAGACCCTTTCCTCCAGCCTCGACTGGACCGCGTCAAGGGCATCCTGCGGCTCTACTGCCGCGCCCTGTCGGCGCCGGCGTCGAGATATGAACACCCAGGAACTGGTGCGCCGCAACATCGGCTGGGTGGACGAGGACACCGCCTCCACCGACGGGTCCAAGGTGTTCCTGCCGCCCGTCGTTGACCACTACTCGCAACAAGCAGGACAACTTCTCCTGGTTCAAAGTGGTCTCCACCCACCAGGTCAGCCACTGGAGTTCGGCAGCTTCGAGTTCAATTCGAAAACCCGCCACCCAGTTCGAAGACCGCCGCCACGCCCTGGAGGAGGAGATCAACGCCAAGCGCGCCGAGGAATTGGCGGCCCGCCAGGCGATGATCGAACTGGCCCGCGAGATGGCCGGCGGCGAGGCCGAGGTCGAAGTCACTTTCATGGAGGTGGGGCCTGACGGTTCCCAGACTGCCATGGAAAGCCCGGTGCCGGATAGCCCGGGTCCATGCGGGCCTACACCGACATTGGGCGGTTCCTGTCCCTGTTCGAGAACGGCAAGCTTGCCTTCGACCTGTTCACCGTGCTGGAGGACTGCCGTCTCGACTACCGCATCAAGGTGGAATACCCCGGCATCAGCCGTGCCTCCTCACGGGTGCAGACCGAAACGCTGGACAGACGACCGGACCTGCAGCAGATGCCCCTGCAGCAAGCCATGGTCGAGTTGCTTATTCACATGAGCCTTGAGATTCACCGGCCTGCCCGTCCCCGAGGAGTACGAAGAGGTTGCCGAGATGCTGTCGCGCATCCTCCACCAGCTTCGCACCGCCGAGGCCAACGTGGAGGACACTGCCGAGGCCACCCTGCGCGCCTACGAGATCATCTACCCGCCTGCCCAACCAGACCGAGGATGAGGAAGAGTGGGAGGACAGGACCTGGAGGAACCCGGGGACTTCAACGAAGAGGAGTACCAGGACCTGGTCGACCGCTGCAGGCCGACATGGACCAGCGCGCCGAGAACCAGGAGGGCGATGAGTCCTACGAATCGCCCGAACCCGTTGACTACCGCGGCGACTTCAAACCCGAAATGGTACAGCTGCTCACCCGCCTGCAGGCCGACAGCGGCGATCAGGAGGGCGAGGCCCAGCCGATGACCCAGGAAATGCTGGAACAGCTCCTGCAGGACAGCGACGAGCTGGAGATGGATGCCGAGGAAGGCGACATCACTGACGCCATGACCACCTTCGCCCAGAACATCATGAAGGAGGCAGGCGCCCCGCCGCCCAACTCCCAGCCCGGTCAGGGCTACGGCCCGCTCATGCACGACGACGATCAGGGCGGCGAGCTGGAGACGCGCGAGCCCCAAACCTACCTGTACGACGAATGGGACTTCCGCGCCAACGACTACAAGCCTCGCTGGTGCATCGTCAAGGAAAAGATGGTCGAAGAGGGCGACATAAACTTCTACCAGGACTCTCTGAAGAACTACGCGTCCCTCTCGGCCCACATCCGGCGGCAGTTCGAGCTGATCATGCCGGAGAGCATGCGCAAGACCTACCGGCTCATCGACGGCGAAGACCTGGACCTCAACGCGACGCTCGAGGCATGGGTCGACCTCAAGATGAACATCCCGCCGGACGACAAGATCTACTGGCACCGCAACCGCAACCGCCGCGACGTGGCCGTGGTGTTCCTGCTGGACATGAGCGCATCCACCGCCGAGGCCATCGACGAGGGCCGCCAGATGGTGGACGACCGCGACGCGCCCGATGATCCCGTCGAGTACATGGTCTGGCTGCGCCGCCGCCGCGAGGGCTTGGTGCGCCGCAACTACAAGCGCATCATCGACCTGGAAAAAGAGAGCACGGCGCTGCTGGTGAATGCCTTGGAGTCAATCGGGGACACCTACGGCATCTACGGCTTCTCCGGCTATGGCCGTGAGAACGTCGAGTTCTACGTGATCAAGGACATTACCGAAAACTTCAGCGACAAGGTCAAGCGGCGCATCGACAAGATCACGCCGTTGCACGCCACCCGCATGGGGGCGGCCATCCGCCACGCCATCACCAAGCTGGAGAACCAGGACGCGCACACCAAGATCATGTTCCTGGTCAGCGACGGGCGGCCCCCAGGACCGGGGCTACAGCCGCGAGGGCGTGGAGAAGGAGTACGCCGTCCACGACACCCACATGGCGCTGGTGGAGGCCCGCAACCTGGGCATCACGCCCTTCTGCCTCACGGTGGACAAGGCGGGGCACGACTACCTGAAGAGCATGTGCGGCGACATGGGCTACGAGGTTCTGGGCGATATCTGGGCCCTCCCCGAGCGCCTGCCCATGCTCTACCGCGAGCTCACCGCCCGCAGGTTCGTCCGGCGGTAGCGCACCTCCGGTAAGACGTCAGTAGCACTGGCAAAAAAGGCCCGCCCTGGTTATTCGGGGCGGGCCTTCTTAAATTGGTCTTGTAGCGGTGCTCTGCCGGCTCTTGAGGGCATAAACAACCTCTATCGGGTTTTGACCGCAGTCCCGTCCTCCTCGATACGCACACCCAGCAGCGACTCGTGAATTCGGTTGAAGACGTCAACGAAAGGCGCCGAAGGACCGCCCAGCCGCTTAACCCAGCCGGGAATCACGGATTCGAGCGCCGCCTGTTCGCTCTGGGCTTTCAATTCCGGACCGAACTCGATGTGCTCCAAACCCACGGCATAGTGTTTTTGAGGGCCGTAGTCATTCTGGACGGCGGCCAGTCGCAGTGCTTCCAGTTCGAGCTTCGCCACCTCTTCTTTCATAATCTCCTGGAGGTCTATGGGGATGCTGTCCCATACCTCCGCGTTGATCACATTGAAGCTCACAGGCCAGGAGACAATGGGGCCACCGAAGTAGCTCGAGACCTCATACCATTGCTGGCCGTAGCCCGTTTCCGCGGTGGAAATAGAGGCGTCGGTGATGCCTCTAGCCAAAGCGGTATATACTTCCGAAACTGCCACGAATTGGGGGGTTCCACCCATTCCCTCAATCCAGTCGGAGAGTGGCGCGTTGAAGCTTCGCGTTTTCAGACCCTGGAAGTCTGCCAGCTGTTCCACAGGCCTCTCGCTGAACAAGTAAAGGTCGCCCCCGTTTTGCCAGTTCACGCCGATTGGATAACCACCGGTCTCTCGGACAATGAGTTCTTGAAGATCAGGCATTACATCGACTACAGCTTCGTATGAATGAGCCCGGTCGGTGTATAGGCCGTAAAGACCGAGAATATCCATCTGGGGCAGCTCCCCTGATACAAAAACAGGGAAGACTTCCGCCATTGGAAGTAGGCCGGCCCTCAACAACTCGAGCGTGTCGGAACCCGCAATGGCCAGTTCCCGGTATGACG